ACACACACGCACGCACACACACACACTCTCACACACACACACACACACACACACAAACTGTAACACGCACACACACTGTAACGCGCACACACACGCGCGCACACACTCACATGCACACACACACACACACACACGCGCGTGTGCGTCTAACCAGAGAGACATACAGAGAAAAACAGAGAGACAGAAAGGTTGTCAGTAACACTCAAAGGAAGCTCTGCCCTGAAACTTAAAAACCCACAAACGCATCTCACACACATTAATATTATAAAGGTTGATATTTAAATATTTATATAAATGAGACCTAGATAGCATATAGACACAGACCTCTGTTTTAATAAAATAAAATAAAAAATAATAATATATATATGTACTACCGTTCAAAAGTTTGGGATCAGAGCAATTTTTTAAATGTTTTTTACAGAAGTGTCTTCTGCTCATCAAGGCTGCATTTATTTGATCAAAAATACATTGTATGACGTGTTTTAACCTCAGTGGTTATGTCAGTTTATGTTAAGCTGGCCCTCACATACACTACAGTTCAAAAGTTTGGGGTCGGAAGGATTTTTAAAATGTTTTTGAAAGAAGAAGATGTCAAAATGCTGCGTTTATTTGATCAAAATTACAGGAACAATTTTAATATTGTGAAATATTATTATGATGTAAAATAACGTTTTTCTATTTTGATAGACATTAAAATATAATTTATTTCTGTAATGCGCAGCTGAATTTCCAGCATCATTACTCCAGTATAAAGTGTCACATGATCTTCAGAAATCATTCTAATATGCTGATTTATTATCAGTTGTGCTGCTTAATATTTTTTTGGAAACTGTGATACTTTTTTTCAGGATTCTTTGATGAATAAAAAGTTAAAAAGAAGAGCGTTTATTTGTAATATAAATATTTTCTAACAATATACACTACAGTTCAAAAGTTTGGGGTCAGTACATTTTTATTCTTTCTTTCTTTTAAATAAATTAAAACTTGTTAAAAAGTGACAGGAAAGATTTATATTGTTAGAAAAGATTTATTTATCAAATAAATGCAGCCTTGACGAGCAGAAGAGACTTCTTTAACAAACATTACAGTCTTACTGACCCCAAACTATTGACCGGTAGTGTGTTTATATACAGTGGGTTTAGCTGTGCGAGCATCAATGTTTCTGGTGTTTACCTGTGCGAGCATCAATGTTTCTGGTGTTTAGCTGTGCTAGCATCGATGTTCTGATGATGTTCTGATGTTTAACTGTGCTAGCATCGATGTTTCTGGTGTTTACCTGTGCTAGCATCGATGTTCTGATGATGTTCTGATGTTTAACTGTGCTAGCATCGATGTTTCTGGTGTTTAGCTGTGTTAGCATCGACGTTTCTGGTGTTTAGCTGTGCTAGCATCGATGTTTCTGGTGTTTAGCTGTGCTAGCATCGATGTTCTGACGTTTAGCTGTGTTAGCATCAATGTTTCTGGTGTTTAGCTATGCTAGCATCGATGTTTCTGATGTTTAGCTGTGCGAGCATCAATGTTTCTGGTGTTTACCTGTGCGAGCATCGATGTTTCTGGT